ACTGTCCAAGTTCCTGGAATTGCTGGAATGTTTTAGGTCAAGTTATAATTGATCTCATCTTCATTTATTGTCCTGTAATAAAAATCCCTTTCTACTAAACATTGTAGCTGAAGAAAGACCGAAATTGAATCAACTCTGTCACCAGTCTAACAAAATGCTATGTACTAAAAACAAATGGTACGGGTCTTGCTTCCAGAACAGATCAGTGACAGGGTCCTTTGAAGGGCACAGCCTCTATAAGAGTTAGGAACTACTTCCTGTCTTAAACCACCTTACTCCCTGTTGTCTGTTTGAACTTGGCTTCTCCTGCCATGTTTTCACATCAGCGACACCTTCTGTCCAAAGAGAGAACTGCAGTGAGTGTTGAATGTATGAAGTGCCGAGACAAATTCATCATTTGTGTGAGTCATGAATTTAGCAACAGTGTAATTTTACTTTTTACTAGATTTTACTAGAGAGAAGCTGGGGGCCGGGCCCCGGAGTTATTGTAAAACCTTGAAAAGCTTAGAATGAATTGTCTTGATTATGAGAAAATGTGGGCAGGTAAATATAATATACCAATGTGGGTATAATTATGGGTACCCTTTTGTTAGAAAAAGAAAAATCAATAATGTCAGTGTATTCTACAATTTAACAAGTGATCCAGATTAGATATCATCTGGAGCCAGATCAGGATCACTGTTTTTCATCTGTGGACCTCTAATATAGAAATGTTGTATTTTAGTCTTTCAGATTCAATAAAGCACTCCTTCTCAGAAGAGGGACTACAGGCAGAGAGAGACAAACAGAAACGTGGGATGATGCAGGCTACTGACTCATCAGCCCTGTAGGGATTATCCTGTGTGTGTGTGTGTGTGTGTGTGTGCGTGCGTGCGTGCGTGTGTGTGTGTTCCTGCTGTCTTACGATTGAAGAGGAAATGCACAGCTGTCATTACTGCATGATGAAAGCAGACTAGAGGAAGCAGCTGACTTGTCAAAGGCAAAGTGACCCTGAATCATTTTTTTTATTGTTTATTCATGTTTGTAGCAGATCCTCAGATGTCAGCCTTTGATTATTATTTGCTGCAATAATAGTGGGGAAATCATGTAGTTCTCTCTATTTTTTATTATTATTTATTTTGTCTTGTAAGGAAATCATGATCAATATAATGGAAGTCTGAATAAAATAACATAGAACCTGTTGATTCTCTTCCAGAAAGGCTTTATTCTCTTCTGTGACTCTAATCAGGCCTCAGAGCTGCAGCAGGCCTCAGGGTGAAGCCCTTGGTCTTATCAGGAAAGCAAAACAATCTTTCCCCAGAGCCAAGGCTGTCTCAGGAGAGCCTACACAAAAAACTCAATAATTGAATGAATAATGATCAAACAACTTTTTAACATGCCTGACTTCCTGGTCACACCCCCTAGAGGTGGTACCTTTTCTGTCAGATGTTAGAAYGTAACCAACTTTTGTTTATGCAGACAGAAAGAACACATTGATAAGAGACACTCGTTCTCTGTTTAAACCATAAGGCTGCACAAAGWGTAAAATACAAGACTGAATCTAACATTCAGTTAATCCGTCACAAAATTTCCTTGTCTGATAACCAAATATCTGGAGAACTACCAGACRTATGTTAACAAAACTGTCCGTAATCATTGGATGACCAATTACAACCATTCATTTTTAGAGTAAACCCAGTTCAGCAGTGGTGGGCACAGTTTCACTCATCTGTTAACCCACTAATAGTGGAACTAATTTATTTCTGAGCAGTTCAGCATTTGCATTAACTTCCTGAACTATTAGCACACTTAACTCATGCTAAATTAAAAAAAAAAWTTGCTGCTAAAATTCTTAAAGTCTCCATAAAGCTGGGCTGTAAGCCTAGCCATGTCAGTCAGTCTGCTGTGTGTCACATGGTGACAGATACTGTATATTCACATTCAGTCTGATAAATACAGACCACAAGTTGTGACTCATTTTAGTTTACAGGAGACTTTAATATAAAAAAATAATAAAAAATGAACAAGTCCACACTCAAAACTATTGTACCCCCCTCCCCACCACACACACACACACACACAC